GCGTGCGTGGTGTCGTGCGTGTCATGCGTGCGTGCGCGTGCGTGCCAGGCGTGCGTGCGTGCCAGTGCGAGCGTGCAGTGCGTGCGTGCGCGCGTGAGTGCCAGTGCGTGCGTGCCAGTGCGTGCGGCCAGTGCGTGGCGTGGGCGTGCGCGCGCGGAGCGGGCGGGGTGGGCGGGCGGGCGTGCGTGCTCCGACCCCTTGGCAGTGCACATTGTCCCACGCTTGCCACGAAAAAGCAGTCCCTTTTCTTTTTGCCATTGTTGGAGGAAATCTTATTGCTTGCTAACAGCTCATCTTCAGTGATTTGCACTGGGGGCTGCTGCAGGAAACCAGAAAGCAAAAGCACTAAAGTGTGCCTTTGGCACCCCACATTCAAACCTAGCCACTGCCATTTCACTTCTTGTTGTTTTGCTTGGCCCATTCCTTCCATTCTTCTCTGGAGGAGAATCTCTTCCCAGTGAAAGTGTCATCCCAGCACTGAGTACATCCTTTCACATTTCCACGGCATCTTGTGCACCCATAGATTTTGTTGACTCTCTGGACACTGGCTCGTGTCAAAACAGTACTTGAGGAAGCTGCTGGGCGTTTCAACACTTTCTTTTTGTTTCCATTCTTGCTTGCAGGCTGTGACTTAGCCTTGGCATTGCTCCTTTTCTTTTGCAAAGCTTCCCAAGCTTTGGTCTCAATCTCCTCCAATGAAGGTTTGTCATTGGCCTTGGTCTCCACAGCCTCAGCTAGCAATTTTCGCTAATTGTCTTCTCTTCCTGGGACATGTGTGCGCGCAACATTTTTTTTGTTGCCGGCAGAGTTACCACTACATAGAACTATAGAAGTAAGCAGTTAGATGTTTTTCACACAGCAAAGCCGCTATAAGAAATAAACATTTAGGAACGCGAAAATTTGCAATTCTTCTGGTCTTTGGTAAGGTCTTTGGGATCCAAAAGGCATAGATGCATTTTGAAGCTGTTGTTCACCCGAGACAGAATTCAACAATCGTGTTCAAAAAAAACATTCAGTCAATTCAGTCTGTCATTCAGTGCACTCAGATGTACTACTATTTTTTTGGGGGGATGTTTGTTTTCGTCATGTCGAACCTGTTGAACAAATCAGTGAAATTCAATTCATGTGACCCAGCCACATGGGGACCGGGAACGGGAACAACATTATGTTTTGTTTTCCTCCTCATGCCGCTGTCTGGTGGCTCAGCTCAACCAGGAACTTAGGAAAAAAAAACGCATGTCTTCGCATCTTCCTAACCGAATCCAAAGCCAAGGGTCAGCCAAACCAAGCAAATGGGGTTAATAATTTAAAGTACGGGAAACAGGGAAATTTTGAGTTTGAAAGACTTTGAGAGACAGAGAGGCATTCCTAATTCCTAAATACTTGTAATTTGACATCAAACCGTAACAAACGGTCAAACCACACAAACTAGGAACGAACAATTTTGAAGTTTTCACTGTTTCACAGCTGAACATTTGATGTTTAGTTTCGGCTGTTTGAAAATTTTGCTGACAATGCTGTCGTTGCCGTGATGGGGTCAGAGTCAGAATACCATCAAGTGGTGTGGCTGGCAACCTTCAGTGACTCTGGTCGACGAGCTGAGAAACACAGGACGAAACAAAAATTTGTGAACAAGGAGGCAGAGGCAGAGCCATTTATTTCAACAAAGCTTGCAGGGATTGAGGTTGAAAACCATGTGTCTTACCACACCCATATTTCTGGCCACGAAATTGTGGGTTTGGTCATTTTGTCTCCTTGGGCTCAACACCAAGCATTGCTGCCTTTGGATGATGAGATGCGTTCACAGCGCAATTTTTGGAGTTTGTTGAGTGGTGGCAGCTTGGATGGCCAGCTTTTCTATTTCAAAGCAGTAAAAGCTGAGGCTACCAGGTTTGGCGTGCCACTAGCTGAAACGCACACAGGGAGGACCACATGTTTTTTCCATTTGGACGCGGTTTGGGCTGAAAGGAGTTTCTCTCCAGCAGAGGCAGCTGCTGGCTCTGTGGCTAGAGCAGAGCCTGAAGAAGAGAACCCTGCTGATGAGCTCTGTGTTCCGGAGCACGGTGTCCGGACTGTGAGGAGGGATCGAGGTTTCAAGTGGGGTGACCATTTCATTACACCAGTAGGGGACGATGATGACCCTAAGCATTACCAGATCACATGTGGCTTTTCTTGCCACAACATCGCCGGAAAGTGCACCAAAAAGCGTTCGGTCAAGTTTGGGGGCAAAGACAAAGTGCTTTTGTGCCTCAAGTGGGTCAGCTTGCCCAGACGCACATTCACATTGGAAGCTTTGGGAGTCAACTGTGATACCGGCGTACCAGAACAACTTGCTGCCACAGCTCGACTGCATATCCTCAGATGCCTTTTAAGGTTGGCCACTCTGTCAGAGCGCTTGCCACATCTTGGCACTGGCATCAACGCCTGGGAAAAGATAGACAGAGAAACTCAAGGGTCTTGGGCACGCAGGGACCTGGGTTGACAGAGAAACTCAAGGGTCTTGGGCACGCAGGGACCTGGGTTGGCTGTGGGGAATTCCCCTCTGGTACTTAGAGCTTTTTTTGCTCAGGCGCGGGAAAAAAAGCGTTCCTGCGACCACCTTTTGGGCTAATATTCTTCTATAGATTTTTCTGGTCGAATTTGCGTTTGTTTTGATGATTTCGAGCTTTTTGAGATTGAATAGGGAAAATACAGCACAGGAGCTACTTTTCCAGGAATTCGAGCAGTTTCATGTTTTTCAGCTATGTCGATTTCGTGCGCTTTCGTGCGCTTTCGTGCGCGGACTTTTCCCCCGAACAGAATGCAAGTTTTTGGTGGCCTTGGTTGATGAATTTGTATGATTTTGAAGCTCCAAAGATGGCTAGGAGTTGGGAAAGCCTTACTTTCCTTATTGATTTTGAAGCAAATTCCATGGTTTCAGCCTGGTTTCAGCTGCCTTTCCAGGAAATTTGTTCGAGGGTTCTGGCAACCCTTTTCGTGCACTTTCGTGCGCTTTCGTGCGCTTTCGTGCGCTTTGGCTTTTGTAGGTTTTGCCGGAGCAGAGCGGCCAATCTCTTTGGATTTTTCAATTTTTGCCAAAATTGTGGTGATGGAGGTTGTTTCTTCTCCAATCATGGCCAACCATGCGGGTAAGCAGTGAATTTTGCAGATACGAAGATTCTGTACTGTTTGGCCATCACCTCGCAGCATGTTTCTCTTCAGCTGGATTCCACGCGTCAAATTAAGCTCATGGATGCGAGAGTAGGAGAACAGTTTCTTTCCAATTTAAATTTAACAGTGAAACATTTTTGGTTAACGATCCTCTAGGGTTTTCACTTCTTCGAGAGCTGTTGCTGTCCTGCCGTCCTGTCATGGCTGCATGTGAAGATGCCTTGGGAGGAGATGGCACGGATGTTTCGACCATCTCAGCCACATACCAAGGCAAGAGAAAATGCAAACGTGGTTCCCTTGCAGATCTCATTTCCAAGAGCGATTTGCCACCAGGCCCAGCTAACTTCGAGGAACTTATGAACTACCCAGTAGATTTGGTGGATGATGCATTCAAGAGCAATGAGCGGAAGCAGCGTTGCATGAGCTTGCTGCAGGAAGGTTTGATTGAACATTCTGACTACTCAGGGATATCCGCAGAACGAGAAGCCAATAGACTTCTTTTTCAGGTGTTGCATGAAGACTATGGCCTTTCAGTCCCCCACCATTTCATCAAGTCATGTGATATAGATCCAGACTGCCAGGCTGTTTTGGTCCACGCCTCTGACACACTTGATGAACAACGGTCCTGTGTCTTCAAAGACATTCGAGAGCAGATCCATCCAGTGGCACAAGCGTTTTGCGAGGAAGCTTTGGCAAGCGCAGATCCTGATTCCATAGATTTGTTGGAGGCTGCGCACAAAAAGATTTTTCAATATCTTCTAGCCACAGAGAATGGTGCTTTTGCTGTCAATGAGGACTGCATGTTGAAGTATTGCTGTAAATGATGCATCCAAGACTTTGACAGTGGCTTTTGAAACGGCTTTTAAAGCTTACTTTTGTTGTTTTTTGTTTTGGAGCATTGAGTGAGGGAAGAAACAGTACGAAGAAAAGGTTACCATGTCTGACTGCCTCGATTGACTAGGTGTAATGCAACATGCTTTCAGGCATGCCCAGTGCAAGACCCTTGGCAGGATGTTGCAGCACACTGTGAAGCTCATTGCCAACTTTGCATTGTGAATCGCCCAAGGTCTTTTTACGATCAAGCCCCTTACCATTCCCTTGGCAAAAAAGGCGTCGGATTATTGAAGGGTTGAAGGATCAGTTTGATTTGTTGGGATTACCTTGTGAGTGGCTTCCGGACCCAATGTGCAGCTGCGGAAAGCGTGAATTTGAACGGCGCTGCTTTTATGCGAGGGAGTTGTTGAGAGGAGCTTTGTTCGTCTATGGGCAGGTTCTCATGGACCTTGAAGCTCGGGCTCGAGCTCGAACAGTTCAATGTGAAGGTGACTTTGACACAACAACTTTGTGCAACTGCCGCTGTGGTGGATGTGACAAAGTCACACCCATGGGTCTGGAATGACTTCCTCCTTGTACAGAGTTTAGTGTGACCTTCGTGGCTTCGAGTTGTGGGATTTCCTACAATGGCCGAGCTTGTCGCAGGGCGGAAAATTTTTGGGCCTGAGCCGTGAGCCACTGAGGAAGTTGCATGGATGCGGATGTGATTGCCAATTGCCAATGCCCCTCTATGTTCCAGATTTTTTTCTGACCACTGTCCTGTTTATAGTTTGAAAGCTTGCGGCTGCTATAAGCTATAAAATAGTTATCTCAAGGCCGGCAAGGCTCCAACGCAGACCCTTTCCCCACAAAAAGTTAAACACATGGTTTTTTCTTAAAGTAGCCAGTGAACACAAAAGAATTTTAATTTCCTTTACTTCTCTGCTAGGTTGCCTCTATTCTCTCCTTTTTGATGCTTTTTTCTTGGTTTGCACTTGAAGGCATTAGATGCAAAACCAGACAGGTCCACAGGACAATTAATGAAAGTTGCTAGCCTCAGCAGCAGGTGTGCCATTTTGCACTGGCAAAGGTCCAGCATGGTCAGGTCTGGACCCAGCACTGGGCTGCACAGGCCATCCAGGCAGACCTGACATGGCCTGCTGACCAGTATTCTGCAAAGGCAGTGGGTTCATTCTGCTGTGTTGCATGTTCTGCAACTTTTCTTGGTCCTGCTTGGAATCCCATTTCTCCATGAAGTCATTGAGCTTGCTCATCAAAGGATCTGCATGCTCCTTCTTGGCATTCCCCTTCTGAAGGTGCTTGCAGTGAGCGGGTGCTTCAGCCCAAAGCAAGCTCGAAGTGGACCTCAGTGGAATCTTTGGGTAGAAGGTGGCCACAGAAAGGTCAGACATTGAAGGCTCTTCATTTCCATAGGCCTTCTTCAACCAATCCTTTGCCAATTGGCTTGGGCTGCTAGGGTACATTTTCAACCCAGGAACTGACTGACCAACCTCAGTATGGTTGAAAACTTGAGCCAAGTCCACAACCATTCCATAGATGGTCCAAGCACAAGGCAATGGGTTCTTGTGCACAGTCACATGCAAGTGCAGAAGTGTGGCCACTGCAGTCTTATTTGTCTCTTCCTTCATGGACTTGATGCCCAATTTCTTCATTCTTTCAGAAATGATTCTCATGGCATCCAAAACGTGACATTGAGACAAAGCCTTCCAGTCAGCAGTGGTGAGGTAAGGAGGCAAGCAGTGCAGAGAGGAAGCTTTGGTTTCCAGTTGCAGGTTGCTCTCTGTGGACACTGACAAGCTATCCATTGTCTGCAAAATATCATCCTTGATATTTTGAGGCAACTCAGCAGCTTCCACTTTGTCGTAGAGGGCAGACAATGTGCTAGCAGTCATGTCAGTAACATTGGTGAGCCTCTGCTTCAAAGAAACCAAGCAAGCTTCTCCCATTTGAGAGTTGGGCCGCTTCACCAAGAGGTTGGCAACATGCTGGAGTTCATGGCAAAAGTCTTCAGCAGTCCACTTGTGAGCCATTGCCACTTACTAGGCCTGCTGCTTGCTAGGTTTGAACCAGTCTGCCATTAGGAAAAGAACTGGTGTATAGAATTTACATGTTTGAGAACATGTCATGACAGTCATCTAGCCAGGAAGGCTTGAAGTTAGGTTTGCAAAGACAGTTTGTGTGCAAGTTCAAACTAGCCAATAAGGCTTCTAGGCACATAGCCACTTGTGGGCTTGAGTTACCTAGCCACCAAGGGCTTGCAGCAGTTCACAAACAGCTTTCTTTTTGGATAGGTTGCCAACAATCTATGTCAGCAGTTGACACACTGCAGCAGGTGCTAATTGTAAAATGCATAGTGCAGCAGGTGCTAATTTGAAAATGCAAATGCTCCAGGCTATTCACATTTAAGATGCTATGAGCATGATGCTCATGCGCCTGGCATATTCTTGATAGAAGTCAACACAAACTGAACAATCGCAGTCAAACTCATGCTGAGCATCAGAATCCCAGTCAGGTACAGTAGGGCAGATGCTTCTCAGCTCAGCCTCAGACATTCTGGTTGGCTCCTGATGGTTGTCCATGGTAGTTGAGCAGTTACTGGAGCTGCTGCTGGCAGGAACAGGCTCAGGTTCAGGTTCCCACATCACTTTTCTTTTCTTTGAAGCATGCTCTTCACCACAGGCGGTGCCAGAAGCCATGGCATACAACAGACTCTTTAGAGTTTATCTTTGAAGAAAATATGTTTGCTATAGTGTTTCTTTTTACAAATGTTTACATGTGTTTGTAAATGTGTTGTTATTGTTTAATCATGTAGATGATCAACAATTCAACTGGCTAAAAGTATACAATAATTGGGTATGATATAACATCTAGATACCCATTGAACATATGGTCTTGGTTGTTTTTTGACTTTTTGGTGCTACAGTCCTGAAGCAACAGCTGAATGTAAAACATTGTTTCTTTGCAAAAGGCTTCTTCTTTATCTCCAATGTTGAGAATTGTTTTTGCTGTACTTGCACAGTTCTGAGTTAGTGGTTTCCAAATGTTTGGTATTCACTTGGATGGCTATGTTTGTACATTGTCTCTGTCAAAATCTATGCCAGCAATTTGCTTTCTCATTGTTTTTGAAGCAAAGGCTGAGGGCAGCAACATTGTTCCAACTTACTTTGTAAACTGCTATGCTTGCAGCTTTAGCCATTGAGGCTTTCACATCTCACTAGCCACATTGGGCTTGCTACATTCTAGCCATCACAGGCTTGCAACATTAGCAGTCCATTTTATAGGCTTGCATTTGGTTTTCTTAGCCATGAAGGCTTGCATAGACACAGGAGCTTTTGAAGCTTGCACAAGGGTGAGCCACTGTGGGCTTGCAACAACTCTAGCCCTTGAGGCTTTCATGTTTGCAAGACACTTTGGACTGGAGCCATTCAGGCTTGCATTTTAGTTAAGTTTACAAACATGTTCCCAACTAGCCACCATGGGCTTGAGACTAGCAACAGCATTTTTTTCCATACTCCACTGGCCAGCTCCTCTTGGAGATATTCATTTGTACACTCTCTTAGGATCAACATTGTTGTTCCATTTCAACTGTGAGTACACTTGCTCGTACAAATCCTTCAGCTGGCCTCCTGCAATGTACCTAGGTGTAGGCCAGTGATCACACCCCCAAAATTCCCATGCATTAATGCATTCCAAAAAACATCCACAGAATCACAAACAAAAACCAACAACAAAAGAAATATTAAATGCAGTTGAGATACACTCGGTGCAAGCGCCACACTTCTGTCCAGTTCCCCAGCTCCAGGTGGGCCAACAGTAGGGCAAGTTTATTTAAGTTTCCACTTCTATGCCCCACATCAGTACGCCTTGTAGTAGTTGGAGGTGGTGGTGGAGGTGCCAGTGAATCTTTGGGATCATCATTCTTGGGCTTTTTGCTTTGCCATGTAGGCATGGGCAATTTTCTCTTCTCCATTGGCTCTTTTTTCATCTCTGTAATTTCCTTGTCAGTCTTGTCCTTCACTGCATCCTCATCCTTTTCCTCTTTGACAGCAATCCCCATTGCCTTCTTGTACTTCTCAATCTCCTCCACCAGTAGCTTGCCCAAGCTGTCTACATCCATTTTCCTGAGAAACTTAACACTTGAGGGATTCCATCAACATGGTTCAAAAGAAAGTTCAAAGCAACAACAACAATCACTTTGGACAAACATTGTAGTGGAGAACAAACAATGGTCAAGTATATCACAATAGAAACAACAATAGTTTACCCCAAATCCAATGCAAGAAACTCTTCAATGGTGTTTTCAGGCAATGAAGCTACCAGGTCAAGCAATGACTTCTGCTCAACCTCCGATGGTTCCTCTTCTATATCTTCCATCACTGGGCTAGAAGGCTGAGTCTTATCATCATCATCATCATCTTTCTCCTTCTTCACCAAGAGATTCAATGCTGTACCTGGAACTTCCCAAGCATCTTCTTCATCAGTTGGCATCGAAGAGCTCATTGCTAGGTGGCACAGTATGACTGCAGCGAGAAAAACTGAAGTTAGTTTTGTCAAGCATCTTTGAAAGATATTATTACAGAGCCTATGCATATGCATTTTTTGTTGAATTATTTTTCATTTTATGGATAAATTATTGCAATATTTGTATTTTGAACAAAATGTGTAGATTCAGATTCTGAATCTAAAAATCCAAAATTTTTGATTTAGATTCAGATTCTAAATCTAAAATTCTATATTTACAATTTAGATTAAGAATCTAAATCTAAAATCCAAAATTTTCATTTTTAGATTCAGATTCTTAATCTAAAATTCAGTATTTACAATTTAGATTCAACATCTGAATCTAAAATTGTATATTGATGTAAACATGCATATTTAAAATCAGCAAATATATTGGTCAAGGTCGAACTTTAGAAAGCATCGCAGGAAGCCAGTGATGCCAATATAATGTAAATCATATCACGTATTCTCTGTGTCATAATTCTTGTTGTTCTGATACATGGTGTCACTACAATATACTACAATCTCATTTTCCTGAGACTTGAGCAGTTCGAATTGCTACCATGACACTAAGTCAACACAGTGGAAACTACCAATACTAGCTATGAAGGCTTGCAGTGGACCATCAAAAGATTGTGATTAAGAATGCAGTGCAGTTTTCTTTCAATTATTCCAACTAGCCACATTGGGCTTGAGCTCTAGTTCAACTTTTCAACTAGCCACTGTGGGCTTGCATTCCACTAGCCACATTGGGCTTGAGCTCTGGTCCACCTATCAACTAGCCACTGTGGGCTTGCATTCCATAAACTACTATGCACTTGTCAGTCAAAGCCATTGCAGGCTTGCAGATAATCTCCTGGCAAAGTGACTCAAACAATTCTTTTACATAGACTGGCTGACATTTGTCTGTATGCAGTCTTCGATCTTTGGATCCATTTCCCAAATTGCTTTGAAACATAAACTATGAAAATGGATGCATTTCAAAATCTTGCAATCATTTTGTGTTGATTACTTCATCATTACTTTCAGGATCCAAAAAATTGATCAATGGCAATCTGTGCCATGGGCTTGGGTACATTGTAAATCATTTTGCTCAAGCAGGCCACTGACACCTTGTTCACTATCTTGCCATTCTTCATCACCCTGTAGGTCAGTCCATCTTCTCCTTGTTCCCAATATGTGGTCTTGCCATTGGAGGCTGGTGGATCAAACCTTCAGGGTTTCACAGTTGGAGAAAACAGCAATGTATGTACCAACATTAAACTTTTGGGTTGGTCAGGTAGTCTGGCCCCACCTCAGTGAAGTCTTATCACTGAAAAAAAACACAAACTCCAGGGATCCATGGTCAGTGTAGCATGTGTCCACCACCAAGGGTACCTCCTCCATGGCATTCATCTCAGTCATCCTCAGTTCTACTTTTCCTTGAACAACAGTGCAGCACTTAAACACATGGTTTCAGTGAAACATCATAGCCACATGGGACTTGAATCAATGTTTTGTAGCCATTGAGGCTTGAAACCAGTAAAGCCATTAAGGCTTGAAACAAGCCAGCCATGAAGGCTTACATTGCAGACATGCAGGCTTCCATGTCAACTAGCCATAAAGGCTTGCTACTACATCTCCCAGCCATTAAAGGCTACAGTTCTCTTGATGTAAACAACAAATAATTTTTCACTCCAGTCCAGGCAGGTCATCGCGGTCCTTCAGGTGTGAACATCATTGCCACTCCTAAGCCTACCTCCTCACAGGCCATTCTGGCTACTTCCTCTCTAAATTTCCTTAGCTATTTACATTGATGAAAATGAACCATGTTTGTCAATCAAGCATATTCAATACCAACCATATAACCAAATGAAAACAAAACACACATACTAGTATGCAGTCAAAGATCCACACTTCCCACCCTTAGATGTACACATTCTATACACAAAATTCATGAACACTTGAAACTTTGCAAAATCCTGTGAATGAAATTTGCGGCCAAGATGCCACACTGTTCTTCCACAGTCAAAGGTGAGTTGGGTACCATTGTGCCAGTGCTCCAGGTTGGTAATGGTAGGCATTTTGACCAGTCAGTCATTCAGTCAGCCAGTCAACCCTACACACATTGAGCCACATTGCTTACCCATATCCAATGCTGCAGTACTATCAACCACATTGTACACAATAGCTTGGTAGCTTCCTTTTTTGCAAAAGAGAATGGAGTTCTTTGAACATTATTTAGATTCATCACTAGCAACAATAGGTGACAGGTTCTATCAACTAGCCACATTGGGCTTGCACAGTGCCAGAGAAAGTAGTAAAAAGGCAATGGTTTTGAAACAAGTGTGTCTGCACCAAAAATGGAATGTGCAGTCATGAGAAAACAATAGCCACAAGGGGCTTGCACAGCAATGATATAACACTAGCCACAATGGGCTGAATCTACTTTGATTCAATCAAAGTTCCAAAGCCTTAGAGGAATTAAAGAGGTACAATAAGCCACATTGGGCTTGCACACACTAGAATATGCAAAACTAGCCACAATGGGCTTGCCATGAGTTAAGGTTGCCAACCCCAAGCCATGGTGTAGGCATGCAATGCCATTGATGGACCACAGCTTTTTGTTCCTACAGATTTGCTGCTGCACTGTAGCAGGCAGTCACTTGGTTTTCCAAGCAAAAAAAAACACATTAATTGGAAGTTGGAAACATTGTGGAAATATGTCTTCCACCTTGTAGAATTGCACTATGCACATGCAGAAATCAGCCCTGCTGATGGATGGCGACTGCATCAAAAAGATGACACAGTCACCCTCCACAGGTAGGAGTGGTTTCTGCATGTGCACATTGCCACAGCTAGGTCTAAAATCCTTTTTGCTAAACAAAGTGCAAACACATTCAGTCAACCCTGTCAATGACCACCAGAAGCCTTTACACAACAATTTCTGTAGCACCAACTGTTCAATTCTGCAGAATTGATTTTGTAAAGGCCTTTGGCTTTTGCCACAAAGACTGATGTTTCCCGAATTGCCAAAGAAATAGCAGCTTTCCAGGAGAAGCTCTTTCTCATTCTACAACCTGCAATGCCTTTCCAGAGAACCAAAAGGTTGCAACATTGTCCTTCCAAGAAACAGCTGCTAGAAGAAGCACGCAAGCCATAGCTGTTCTCATGATCCAGTGGTGTAGTCAAGCTTTGGGCACCACACATTGCCTGCACCAGTAGAGGGCCAAAAAAAAGCTGCAGGATTTTCCTGCACAAGCTCATTCCTGCCACACACAGGCACACACTACATGCATTGAAAAAAATGTTCGAACCAGGAGCTGCAAGGCAACCACAAACTTCTGTGCTCCAACCAACTGAAAGTAAAACCAACTAGCCTCAAGGGCTTGCAAAAGCAAAGGCTGCCACAAGCCATGAAGGCTTGACATGAGAAGTGTAGCCATCAAGGCTTGGTTCATGGTTTACAAAGCGATCATTTTTCCAGCAGCACAGGAGCCATGCTAGGTACAGTCAGTGGAAGTCAACAGAGTCATTGCTTAGCTTTCTTGTACTGCCTCCTATCTGCAGCTAAGCAGTCTGCAGCTTCTTCTTCAAGCAGTTGCAAAACAGCTTTTAGCTGATCTGGTTCCATTCGAACCAGCAAATCACTTCTAGTAGGCCTGGCACCTCTCAGAAGAACTTGTACAGGCTGCTCTTGGACTTGAATCTCAACAGTGAAATCACCAGCATCTGCACATTTTCTCTTCTTGGAGGCAGGCTGCTTGTCTTCCACTTCCTCACTCTCTTCAAACAAGTTCTCTTTTGGCTCAGCAGCTTGACCCTGGGCATTCAAAAATGTCATGGCTGCAGTGTTCCTGTCCTCAAGCATTTTCTGCAAGTGAACACTGCTAGACAAGGACGGGTTCTTCACTTTGCTCCTTGACACCAGCTTCACTATGCTTGGGTGAGAAGGCCTGATTTTCAAATAGGCATTCCCTTCAAAAGTTTCAACCAATGTTGAAGGCAAAGACATCCACTTGTCATCCTGGTACTTGATTTCCCAAGAAGTTCGAAGCTGCACCATGGCTGCCATTGCACTATACCCACATGCAAAAAGAAATGCCAAAACAGTGGGCTTGAAGCCAAAGCACTGCAAATTCAAGGATCAGCATCATTGCCATTGGGGCAGCAAGGGGTTCATGCAACCATGGCAGCTTGGAAGAAACACTTGCAAGGAAAGCCACTGAGGGCTTGGATGCACTCACTAGCTATGAAAGCTGAGCATGCCACTTGTTGAGCCACTGGGGCTTTGCTTCCACAGTGACACTAGCCATATGCAGGCTTGCCAAACACTTTCTATTTCATTCTGCACAGTGGCTAGGTACCACTCTTGTAGGCAAAAGAGAACTGACTCCATCAGTCCTAGCTGTACAAAAAGATGGAATGCCTATGGCAAAACAGCATTCCTTCTCCGCCTTGTTCACACCTAAGCCTTCAGTTTCTGCTTTTTAGCAGAAGAAGCATTTTCAGGCTTCTCAAGGACCAGCATCTCTTCAGGGCCCAGAGGAGTGCAGTTCACCAAGTAAGGGATCTTGCAACCATCCACTGTAGCTTCTGCCAGCTGCATGTTGCCCTCATTGTCAGCACTTTTCACCCACCAGAAAGGAGCCAGAACACCTTCACCCTTCTTGAAGTCAGTCAAAGCTTTGAAAGGCTGAACAAGCCAATGGTGCCCAAAGGCCTTGATGTAATGCTTGCCTCCAACAGGTGTGTCTTTCACTTTGGTGACAGTGCCTGCTGGGAACAATTTCAATGCTCCTTTCTTCACCTTCTTCACTGACCAAACCAAGTTGGGGTGGTTGCTGAAGGCTACATCCTCAGGACCAACCATTTGGTCAACACACACTTGCAGCAAAGTCTTCTGCACATGTGCTTTCTGCAGCTCTAAAGCCACAATTGCAGAACCATTGGCAACTGCCATGTGGGCAAGAGCTTTCAAATGGTGGCATTTCTCTGGAGGTGCTGACTTGCACACCTTCCACTCCTTCAGCTTCTCAAATTCCACTTCAATGCTTTCAGCTGGGCCAAACACTGGCTGGTGAGAGAATTTCACTTTGCTTGCACTGCTGTCCAAGAAAGTCCAAATCTTGTTTCCATGCTCCTTTGAACATGTGTACCTTGCAGAAATGCGTTGGCAAACAAACACTTGTCAAAAGAAAACCAACCCTAAGGAAATAAAAGAAACTTTCATTGTGCCAAGTCACAATTGGCCCTGCTTCATGTGCGGATTTTGCAACAGTGCCAGCTCAGCAGGTGTACTGGCCGAGACATTCTTCACCTCCAGTTCAACAGTGGGCTTGGCCTCTTCCTTCCTGACACTTGGTTTAGCTCCACCAGCCAAATCAGCAGCAAACAGTGTGCAAATAGCATTGATGCTTTCATGTCCAGCTGGTTCTCTGCCATGCTTCTCTTTCTTCAAGACATGCAAAGTCAGTCTGGTACACAATCTCCCAAAGGCAGCCAATTTGGTGGCTTATTCAGCAATAGATTTCTGGATCACTTCCCAGCCATCTGCCAAAGCTTGCCTGAAGCTGCAGGCCATGAACCCAAAGTAGACATGTCATGTTTACAGGGCATAATGCAACATGTGCTTGGGAAAAGGTAGAAACTTCAAACCACTGCAACAAAACAAATGCAAACAAACTACTCAGCCATGTCCACTTGAGCCTTGAAAGCAGCATTCTTCAGCTTCTCACAATCTGACTTGTTCAGGAGCTTAGAGTATCCATCACTGGATCGGTTGCTGCACATCATTGAAGCCCACCTCAGCTGTCAAGCAGTAAGCAAAAAAAACCTTTGCCTACAGAATCAATAATCAATGGATTACCAGCAAAAAAAGCCAATGGCCCATGTTCAACAAAATGCCAAGTTGCAGTGCTGTCCTCAGGAAAGGGTACAAGGAGGTAGAGCCTTTGAACTCCATGTAGGCAATGGACTTCATCATCTCTTCCCCCAGAAGCAGTGACCCATAGGTCTTACCTCAGCTCACCAAGTCAAATGATGTCTGGTGTTGTGCAATAGCCACTAAAGGGCTGGCCAGCTGTGAGCCACATTGGGCTTATTGACATAGCCACCAGGGCTTTCAATTGCTACTTGCAGCCATTCAAGGGTTCAAGCTAATTTAAGCCCAGCTGCTGAAGTGAGCCAAGAACTTCACTAGGCATTGCCTCTCTCCTGCATACCTGGAGACAAACCATGCAATGGCTTCCAGAGACCTCTTGCAAGCGGGGTCACATTCCTGCACTTTTTGCAAAGCTTCCTTCAAGGCCATTCCATGGTTCAAGTACTCGCACATTTGACTTGCAGCTTCGATCTCAGTCATCTGCTGGTAGGAGTTGTTCACTGGATTCAAAGCTGATTGAATGTAGCTGGGCAGCTGGGGCCATTTCACTTCCACTGCATTGCTCAAAACAAGGAAAGGCCAGCCCTTGGAGCACAATTGCTGCAACCCAGGGTCTTGCTTTGGATCCACTGGAAACCCCAGGGGTCCTTTCAACCCTTGCTCCACTGCTTTGCAGAAGGCAGCAGTGTGGCTGGTTGCCACTGTCAAAAACCTTTCCTGGAAAGTCACTGGGGCCAGGGTGTCACCAGAAGCTTTGACCAAGGCCACATTTGCATCCAGTTGCCTCTTTCTCATGCCTTCCTCTGTTGCCAACTCGAAAGCCACAGCACCTTCATTGAGAAGTGAAGGTTGGACTCCCACTTTGACCATTCGATGGCCCTTTTCCCAGACATCTGCAGCATTCAGCATACTCCCCCCTCTATTGCTAGGGTGAGTCAGTGTATCCTTGGGCAGCACATGCTGCTTGTACCCAAAGCCACTGCCACTGAAAGTCTTGAACAGCTTCTCCACTTTCTGCAGCACTGACAAGGCTTCATTGGCCAAGATGGTGTCCACTTCCTTCACCACTTCTGCAGGGATTTGGCTCATGGCTGCAAAAGTTTCAGTGCTACTGCATGTGTTGCAAAACAAAATGCCAGAACATGTGCATGTTAGTGGAACATGTGGGATCATGCTTTTCTTGTCAAAGGCTTGCCCATCCAGTGTTCAATTTGTTTTCTGCTTGAGCCATGCCACAAGTTGCTAGACAAAGAAGCCATTGAAGGACTTGCAACAATTAGCTATCCAAGCTTGCTGACTAAAACTTAGCTATTCAAGCTGGCTGCCAAAACTTCTAGCCACTATGGGCTTGCAATAGATAGCTACAAAGAGCTTTCAAAAGAGTGGTACCAAAAAGGTTTGCACCAAAAGGAAAAAAGTTCTGTGCCCCTTGTTCAAATCGTGCACATGCACAAACATTCCTGTCTGCTTTGCTCTTGTGCAAAAGAATGGAAAATTCATTTAAAAAACAATCTTTTCCAAATTAACTTAAATCAGCTAAGTACTTGCTAATTTTTAGCAAAATTAAAAACAATAAGATGACTTAGCTAACTTTATATTTTTTAGCTAAATGTTTTAAACATGTTAAACAACTAGGATGATGTTAGCATAACAGTAACATACACCTAAGTACAAATTAAGATATATTTAAGGGCTGCCGCCCCTGCCGCCGACCCCGGAATCAACGACTAGGGAAGGTGGGTTTTGCATCTGTAGTATTTGTTTAAATATCAACGTTCAAATCGCGGCACACCAAAAATCAGCGCAAACCTGGTGAACTTGGTGTAGACCGTGTTGTTCTGTAAAACGCAGGGTTGGTTTGGGGGCATGGTAAAACCCAGGTTTTGGTGTCAGATTATTGGAGACATCTTCAAAATAAGCTTCAAAATGGTAATGTAAATGCTGCACCAAGACCCCGCTATTTGGAAACCCGTCCATGCCGTTCGGCTTGTCATTTTCGTGGGCCGTGGCCGCATGCAAATGTGTGGCAACATGTCGTGACCTCGGGAGTTATGGGAGGGCCCTGCTGCATTTGGCCACCTCTGGCAGGGGTGGTAGGCATAGCATGTGAAAAATGGTGGTGCTGCTGCTGCTCCTGCTACTCTTCTGAAACCTATAGAAAAAATGATTGTAGCTACCTTTTCCTCCTGTTTCCTGCTGCTGCTGCTCCTGCTCCTGCTACTCCGGTGGCAGGCTGCGACGCCTAGAATCGAACCACTCCCAGCAGCAAATCCCCATGGCAGTAAAGGACGGAAAAGCATCAAAATTGCGCCCAAAAACTGCCTAATGTAACTTCTGAAACCCATAGAAAAAGATGATTTTAGCTACTTTTTCCTCCTGTTTCCTCCTGCTGCTGCTGCTCCTGCTCCTGCTACTCTTCTGAAACCTATAGAAAAAATGATTGTAGCTACCTTTTCCTCCTGTTTCCTGCTGCTGCTGCTGCTGCTCCTGCTCCTGCTACTCCGGTGGCAGGCTGCGACGCCTAAAATCGAACCACTCCCAGCAGCAAATCCCCATGGCAGTGAAGGACGGAAAAGCATCAAAATTGCGCCCAAAAACTGCATAATGTAACTTCTGAAACCCATAAAAAAAGATGATTTTAGCTACTTTTTCCTCCTGTTTCCTCCTGCTGCTGCTGCTGCTCCTGCTACTGTTCTGAAACCTATAGAAAAAATGATTGTAGCTACCTTTTCCTCCTGTTTCCTGCTGCTGCTGCTGCTCCTCCTGCTCCTGCTACTCCGGTGGCAGGCTGCGACGCCTAGAATCGAACCACTCCCAGCAGCAAATCCCCATGGCAGTGAAGGACGGAAAAGCATCAAAATTGCGACCAAAAACTGCCTAATGTAACTTCTGAAACCCATAGAAAAAGATCATTTTAGCTACTTTTTCCTCCTGTTTCCTCCTGCTGCTGCTGCTGCTCCTGCTGCAGCTACTCGTCTGAAACCTATAGAAAAAAATGATTGTAGCTACCTTTTCCTCCTGTTTCCTGCTGCTGCTGCTGCTCCTGCTCCTGCTACTCCGGTGGCAGGCTGCGACGCCTAAAATCGAACCACTCCCAGCAGCAAATCCCCATGGCAGTGAAGGACGGAAAAGCATCAAAATTGCGCCCGCAGCAAATCCCCATGGCAGTGAAGGACGGAAAAGCATCAAAATTGCGCCCAGAAACTGCCTAGTGTAACTTCTGAAACCCATAGAAAAAGATGATTTTAGCTACTTTTTCCTCCTGTTTCCTCCTGCTGCTGCTGCTCCTGCTCCTGCTACTCTTGTGAAACTTATAGAAAAAAAATGATTGTAGCTACCTTTTCCTCCTGTTTCCTGCTGCTGCTGCTGCTGCTTCTTCTCCTGCTCCTGCTCCTGCTACTCCGGTGGCAGGCTGCGACGCCTAAAATCGAACCACTCCCAGCAGCAAATCCCCATGGCAGTGAAGGACGGAAAAGCATCAAAATTGCGCCCAAAAACTGCCTAATGTAACTTCTGAAACCCATAGAAAAAGATGATTTTAGATACTTTTCCTCCTGTTTCCTCCTGCTGCTACTGCTGCTGCTCCTGCTGCAGCTACTCGTCTGAAACCTATAGAAAAAATGATTGTAGCTACCTTTTCCTCCTGTTTCTTGCTGCTGCTGCTGCTGCTCCTGCTCCTGCTACTCCGGTGGCAGGCTGCGACGCCTAAAATCGAACCACTCCCAGCAGCAAATCCCCATGGCAGTGAAGGACGGAAAAGCATCAAAATTGCGCCCAAAAACTGCCTAATGTAATTTCTGAAACCCATAGAAAAAAATCATTTTAGCTACTTTTTCCTCCTGTTTCCTCCTGCTGCTGCTGCTCCTGCTCCTGCTACTCCGGTGGCAGGCTGCGACGCCTAAAACCGAACCACTCCCACCAGCAAATCCCCATGGCAGTGAAGGACGGAAAAGCATCAAAATTGCGCCCAAAAACTGCCTAATGTAACTTCTGAAACCCATAGAAAAAGATGATTTTAGCTACTTTTTCCTCCTGTTTCCTCCTGCTGCTGCTGCTCCTGCTCCTGCTACCCTTCTGAAACCTATAGAAAAAAATGATTGTAGCTACCTTTTCCTCCCGTTTCCTGCTGCTGCTGCTGCTGCTTCTCCTGCTCCTGCTACTCCGGTGGCAGGCTGCGACGCCAAAAATCGAACCACTCCCAGCAGCAAATCCCCATGGCAGTGAAGGACGGAAAAGCATCAAAATTGCGCCCAAAAACTGCCTAATGTAACTTCTGAAACCCATAAAAAAAGATGATTTTAGCTACTTTTTCCTCCTGTTTCCTCCTGCTGCTGCTGCTGCTGCAGCTACTTGTCTGAAACCTATAAAAAAATGATTGT